AAATTCTCGATCCTTTAGGATGGTTATCACCTATAGTCATCAAATCAAAAGTACTCATACAAGACTTATGGCTAGAAAGATTAGGATGGGATCAGAAAATAGAAGGTAAACTAGCAGAAAAATGGATAACCTTTAGAAAGGACATGAATAAACTCGAAGATATCAGAATTCCAAGATGGATGCAATTTAGTCAAGCAACCTAATTCAACTCCACGGATACTGTGACGCCTCTGAAAAGGCCTATGGAGTATGGAGCTGTGATCTACAGCCGAACAATGACGACTAAAGAGAACACAGTTGTCACACTTCTCTGCGCAAAATCAAAAGTAGCCCCAGTGACACTAAGAACAACGTTACCGAGACTTGAACTCTGGGCAGCACACTTATTAGCGAAAATGATAAAACAAACTATTTCGACACTAGAGATAGAAAATATAGAAACTTTCGCATGGAGTGACTCCATATGATAACATTACAATCGATGGAAAACATTTTTTGCCAATCGCGTGAGTGATATAAATAGATACGTAGACAGCAGTCACTAGAACCACGTAAGAACATTCGAAAATCCAGCAGACCTTATATCCAGAGAGTCTAATCCAGAAGAATTAGCAAACAATCTCCTGTGGTGGAATGTACCAGCATGGCTTCATAGTCATGAACCACTACCATTAGCTGAAGAAATACCCGAAACGGACCAAGAAGCTAAGAAAACCATAAAATGTTTCCAGGTTAAAACACAAATCACAAAAAACATAATTTAACGATTCTCCGACTTAACCAGAATGATAAGAATATTAAGCTACTGTCGAAGAGTTTTCCACAGGTCCAACGAACCAATATTATCTGTCGAAGAAACAAGAAAAACCTTCCAAGAAGTTATCAAAGTGATCCAAAACTGCGAATTTCCATCTGAGATATCGTCCATTAACACAAAGAAAAACCTGGAGAAATCAAGCAAAATATGCAACCTAAGCCCATTTATTGACGGGGAACAAATCCTACGAGTTGGCGGAAGATTACAAAATTCAGAGTTACCATACAGTCAGAAACATACTATAATACTACCAAGTCAAAATCATTTGAGCAAACTAATAATAATGGACGCATATCACAAAACCCTGCATGGCGGAAACCAAGCAACACTGGCTTACCTCAGAAGAAAATACTGGATTATTATGGGAAGAAAATTGTAAGAAGAATCTGGAGTAAATGTATTACATGCATCATGCATCAGGTACAAATCAAAAACCTCAGAACAGCAAATGGGTCAATTACCTGCCACGAGGGTCACACCATCCCCACCGTTCATTAACAGTGGAGTAGACTATGCCGGCCCTATCAAAATCAGAGCTAATGGAAGATGTCAGAAGTCATATAAAGGCTATATCTCAGTTTTTGTATGTCTTTCCACTAAGGCAATACACCTAGAAGTGGTAAGCGATATGACGACCATTTCGTTCTTAGCAGCCTTCCGGAAATTTATTGAGAGAAGAGGTCACTGCGAAAATATTTACAGTGATAATGGAACAAATTTTGTTGGGGCAGCACATTATTTTGAAGAAGAAGTTCTCAAATTAACTCAACACGAATCCTTGCAAAATACAATGGTCAACCTTGGCACTAAATGGCACTTCATTCCACCGGCGGCACCTCATTTTGGTGGACTGTGGGAAGCTGGAGTCAAGTCAATGAAACATCACCTCAAACGAGTAATTGGAGAAAAAACCCTCACGTATGAAGAACTTACAACTTTGTTACACCAAATCGAAGCAAGCATCAATTCTAGGCCGTTATCTCTCTGACGAAGTAGATGACTATTTTGTCCTAACTCCTGGTCAGTTTTTAATTGGAAGGGGACTATTGTCTCCAATTTACCCAATAGCAAGTAATATTAATTCCAGTTTGTAAGAGAAATGGAGGCTTACCCAAAAAATAAAAAAGGACTTCTGAAAAGTTTGGAGCACAGAATATTTAGGAAGATTGCAACAAAAATATAAATGGCAAAATCAGGAAACCAACCTTAAGAAAGGAACCATGGTAATTATAAAAGAAAATACAATAAATCCCAGCCAATGGCCCTTAGCACGCGTAACAGATGTTCATCCTGGAAGAGATGGCGTAGTAATACATCCCATAGATCCCACCTACATTAGGAGAAATGGAAAAAGAAACACTGACCATTCCCACTCATTAGGTTACAGCAAATATGGCCATAACCTCAAGCAGCAATATCAAATATCAAAAGAGAATGCACTGTGAAGCAGCATGTGAAAACTGAGATATCAAAAGTATCTCATTTTCAAATCATTCAACTATTTATGTTATGGTTCAGTTTGATACTTCTCCCAAAATGTCAAAGCGGCTATATTTACATCGAACATTTTGGAACGGCACAAATAAATAGAAAAACATTTAGAATGGAAGTCACTTATAACAGAACAAAAATCAAGGAACTAACGCGATAAACACGACGCACTCACACATATTCAACATTCACAATTTCAGCCAGCATCTGAGTCAGTAATTGGGCACTCAGATGATTTAAACTCACTAATGACAGAAGAGATACATACTCCAATTCAGATGGAACTTCAAAACCATATATGGAGAGATATACGACATCATTCTACCATAGTTGCAGTGACAACTACCATTGCACCAATCGTAGTAGTGTTGGGTGTCTGGATAAGAATCAAATATCTAAGACTTCGAACAAGAGAGAAAAAGACCACCAACAAGTCTGAAAAATATGAACTATAGTCCCTGAAGTCGCCAAATTGAGAGGCGGCAGAATATCCATTTATCCAAATTGGAACATTTAATTTTATATTTTTAACACACTGTACATATTAGAATTAATTAATTATAAGCAACCTACTTTTTATTATTGCAAATGACGATCATCGGTATGTGCAAAATCAGCATTTATTGTATATAAAAGGCGATCAATTTCATTAATAAAATCAGATTCAAACTTATTGTTGTTTCTCTTACTTAAATTGTGCCCAAGTCACTATTGGCCTAGCAACGCTAGTAGAGTCGTGAGACTGCGCTCTAACAATTACTTTTGCTTTAGCCTTATTGTAGCAGGTGCTCTGTCTGGTTACATTTGGCCCTTCTTTAAATCTGTAACAAGTGCTTTGTCTGGTTACAGGTTTTGATTTAACCCATATAGCAAGTGCTTGTAAGTTACCTATCTTACGCCCTAAGTGCAAGTGCCGTGACTTTATGTCCTGTCTGGTACTAAGGCCCTTCTGCTCTTCTATCCTAAACCATCAGGATCAAGCAGAAAATACCATCCAGAGAACCACAGTCTCCTGGAGCGTACAGAGATTATTTGACAAAGTATATAAACTTATGGGAATGTTGAAAATGAAGTTATTATAGAAAAAATACTAAAATTGATTGGTAGGTAGTAGGGAATTAAAATGTTATACTTAAGTATAAGTACAAGTGGTGATCAATCATCCTCAGCTGATTGTTTTAAGTCTTATCTAAAAAATATATCTATATTTTCTATCAGCAATTGAAGGAAAGCATTCATTATTTCTGATAAGGCAAAACAAATATACATACTTCGAAATGCATTTTCAGGTATTTCATGAATACCTAATGTTCGAAGTTCAGGTTTCTTGAGAGTTTTCACCCTTGAGATTTCCAAGTTTTCCTTGGTCGAATTCCGACAAAGAAGTTGTACATAATGTTTCAATAATGTTTACTCCTTCTTTCAATTGGTTGAAATAGATACATTATTACAGCTCTTTTAAGTTTAAACCATAGAATTCGAGACATAGAAATGTTAAATTTCTATGGTTTCTTTCTCATTTCGTAGCGTTGAAATCTTGTAGTGAAAAAATTTCAAATATTCCGAAAAATTTTATGGTTCGCTTTATCTCACCAAACACAATTTAAAAAATCGCCTGATTCAAGTTTTCAATACTTGAAGATTTGAAACCATTTCCAAAACGTTACCTACTTAATTATCATAATATCATTCATATTATGCATGATAATTTTATCATGCAGGTTACTTTAGTAAAACTAGCTTTATCAAGTGTTTATGAATACGAGTTATACAGGGTGTCCCACGGTGGATGGCGTATTAGACGTTTATGGAGAACGAAAAAGCGGATCATTTTGAAAATTTGGCAACCGGGATAAACGACCATAATCTACACGTTAAAAATATTTTTGACCATGCGGTGTTGCCGCTTCTACTCTAAATCAGTGGCAAAATCGCTATTTTAAATGGAATATCCTGTATGTGATTGCATATCTGGATTCTACTTAAAATTCTGAGCAGATTTCATGTGATATACCCTATACCTAAGTTCAACTGTTTTGGAAATATTGACAGTTGAAAATTGACTTTTTGCAACTTTGACAGGCTGTAAAACCTGAACGGTTAATTTTAGAGGAAAACCGATTTTACATTCCTATCTTAGATTTTTATAAACTATCATTTGACACAAACTTTGAATTAAATCCATGATTAAAAATTCCAGTTAAATTTAATCTCCGGTTAAGTTCAAAGTTGGTGTCAAATGATAGTTTATGAAAATCTAAGATGGAATGTAGAATCGGTTTTCCTCTTAAATTAACCGTTTAGGTTTTACAGCCTGTCAAAGTTGTAAAAAGTCAATTTTCAACTGTCAATATTTCCAAAACAGTTTAACTTAGGTATATGGTATATCACATAAAATCTGCTCAGAATTTAACGTAGAATCCAAATATGCAATAAAATAGTGATGTTGCCACTAGTTTAGAGTAGAAGCGGCAACACCGCATGAACAAAAATATTTTTAAGTGTAGATTATGGTCGTTTATCCCGGTTGCCAAATTTTCAAAATGATCCGCTTTTTAGTTCTCCATTAACGTCTAATACGCCATCCACCGTGGGACACCCTGTATACCTAATTGACTAAAAAACATAGATTGCTGATTTTCATAAAATCTAGAGTATTTACACGTAGGTACTTATTTCTTATCAATCACTCAAAGAACATATAAATAAATAACAAATCAGCAGAAACCAAAGTAATTTCGTGCAGAAAAAATGGCTCGGTCAACAGTGATATTACTAGTTTTATCAGTTTTCCTAATTGCGGCCAGATCGGCAGTAATTCAAGACGATCTGCCGACTAATTACGAATATTTCACCGAGAACGGTATCTCCAGTGGATTGAATGCCGATCAAAAATATTTCACACTTAATGGTAAGAATATCACCATCTTCAGTGGAGCTTTCCACTATTTCCGAGTACATCCGTCGCAATGGAGAGACAGATTGAGGAAAATGAGAGCCGCAGGTTTAAACACAATCGAAACTTATGCGGCATGGAATTTGCATGAATATCAATCAGGTAAATATATTATTTTCCAAAAAAAAATCGAGTTCAATTAGATTAATTTCAGGTGTATATGATTTTGGTAATGGAGGTTCAGACTTTGAAGCATTTCTGGACATTGTCCAATTTATTAAAATAGCCCAAGAAGAAGACTTGTTCGTCTTGGTAAGACCTGGACCATATATTTGTTCAGAATGGGAATTCGGAGGTAAATAATACATTTTCCGAAATAGTTATTTATGATATAAGTGTTAAAAGTACATTTTTAAGGCACGCATGTGAAAGTTTGCAGAATGAGCGAAGCGAATTCTGCAATTCACATAAGTGCCTTAAAAATACTTTTAACACAAATATCATACAATATTTTTTCTACAAACGGCAATAACAAGCAATAACCAGTGACAAATTGGATTTTTAAATGAATAATAAATTGGAAACATCTTTCCTACGTAAAATTATTGAATTTGATATTTGTCAAAAAATTCAAACAACCAGCACCTTGTTTTACAGGTAATGAAATGTCTCGTCAGTTTCTTGAAAGTCTGTCGTATGGTCTATCGTGGTCAGTAAGCTTTTTGCTAAAAATGCAACAAAATACACAAGAAAAAGAGGGTTGCATCAATCCCTTGAAAAATATAGAGGAGGCGGCCGATGGAGCTTCCTCAATTGTTCAAATTTTACCATTAATATTAATGTAAATAATTAAAAATACAAACTTTTTTTGACGTTTGCTTTCAAATTTTGATGTTTCATTTTTAACACTAGTGCCTTAAAGACTTTTAACACTAGTGCGATAAAGTAACATTTTTAATGCTTCGAGGGGGTGTTAAAAATTGCATTTTTAACACGTTTGTAGAAAAACAATTTTTGTGATTAACGTTGCTTCTATAGGTTTACCAAGTTGGTTGCTCCGTGACAAAGACATCAAAGTTCGTACAAATGACCCACTATACCTTAAATACGTTGCCAGGTATTGGGGCCAACTCTTACTACTTCTTGAACCTCTTCAGTTTACCAAGGGTGGCCCGATTATAGCTTTGCAAGTTGAAAACGAGTACGGCAACACTGGAAATAGTGATCCTGACTATTTACATTCATTGGTCAAGGTAACTCCTGTTTTTTTTTAAATTCTTTTGTTTATAATTTCGGTCTTTGGAGATATACAGAGATAATGGTATCAAGGAACTCTTGTACACCTCAGATCCACCAGGTGCAGGAAGTAGAGGAGCACTGCCTAATGAACTTTTGATGACCGCCAACTTTAATTCTGATGTAAAGGGGAACTTGGATAAGTTGGATACTCTACAAGCCAACAAACCAACAATGACAATGGAATTTTGGTCAGGTAATACATAAAATGAATAAACATTTCATTTTTTTTTTTTTTTTAAATTTAATTTTAGGTTGGTTTGATCATGTTAGCGAAGACCACCACACAGTTTCAGTAGATCAATACAAGCAACTTTATGAACAGATCTTAACTCATCCAGCTTCTGTTAATATTTACATGTTCGTGGGTAGTACCAATTTTGGGTTCCTTAACGGAGCTAACAGCTTGTACCCTGGATTGAACAATTCTGGATTGCAACCAGATGTTACCAGGTAATTACCAACTTTGTAATAGGATAAGCGAGGATTTTATCAAAAAAAATGTTTCAGTTATGACTATGACTCCCCAATTTCTGAATCCGGCGAAATTACTGACAAATTCACTGCCACTGCAGAACTAGTTTCTAAATACAATCCAATCAAATCGAAACTTCCTGCTATTCCAGAAACCCATGAAAGAGTGACTTTTGACGATATTAAGGTAAATTTTATTGAAATATAAGATTGTGCACCTGTTAACTAACCCAAATTTTCTATAGATTGAACAACAGATTTTACTATCAGAAATCATCGATTCTTTCCCAAACAAAATCGCAAGTGAAAACATTGTTTCTATGGAACAATTGCCTATTAACAATAATTCAGGTGAATTCACATTCAATCAAGCTCATTATGGTTTTAGAATCTTATTTTGTATCTTTAGGCCAAGCATTTGGATATATTGTTTATAGAAAAACAAACCTTAATTTAAACGCCAATGCAGTATTGAAAATTTCTGGATATGTAAGGGATCACGTTTTGGTTCTTGTTAATGGAAAACTTCTAACGCCAGTGCTTTCCAGTAAAGACGATCTCAACAAATTTGGGTTAGTTCAAACAAGGTCCCTTTAGATATATTTTTTAGTGAAATAATTATTGCAGATATTGGAGAGTTAAAGATAGTTCAATAACTCTAACAAACGAAGCGTTAGAAGGAGCTACATTAGATCTGGTTGTGGAAAACAATGCAAGAAACAACTATGGAGGCCTGGATCAGTTCCAACAATTTAAAGGACTAATTGAAGATGTTTTAATTGACGATGTAGAAATCAAGAGTTGGGAGATCGTTCCTTTGGAATTTAAAAAATCCTGGAACAAGCAACTAACGGGCTGGCATGAAGTGCAACAAACCAGAGCTACACCTGCTTTATACAGGGTAAAAGCTAAATTTAAACTCAATATTTGGTCTTTATTGTTATATTTTTAGGTAACTTTTAATGTTAAAGCTCCTTTAAGAGACACCTACGTCAACGTACAAGATTGGAGGAAAGGCATAGTTATAATTAACGGATTTATCTTAGGAAGAATTTTTGCGGTTGGACCACAGCAAGCTCTCTATCTTCCTGCTGGATTATTGCAAGAAGGCCAGAATGAAATTATTGTTTTTGAGCACTTTAGTGCTCCAGAGTACGTTAAGTTTTCGAGAGATCCTATTTGGGGAGTCGGTACTCATATCAATTAGATAATTTGATTTTAATAGATGAATTCATGTGAACTTTTTGTTTTACTATTGAATGCGAAGATCAGCATCATGCAAGTTCAGGATTAATCGCCTTGGAGTTTTATGATTGATTAGTGTTTGTACCTTTGCATGGGTTGAGATGAAAGTAGCAAGATCGAGCTCTAGAAACAGGACTAAGACAAAATTGAGATAACAAGATCAAGTTCTGGACTTGAGCAAATACTTTTCTGGAAACAAACCGTTAAATTTAATTCTCACTAAAAGTAAAGTAACCTAAAGTGGAATCTACACCAACTACTAAAATATCTTCAAGATAGTGTTAGTGTACCTACTGACTTTCCAGGTCTGAAACTTTTTAAATGCATGCATTTAGGCCGGAGTTACCCAATTCCTTAATTCTTAATATTTGTCCTTAATTCTTAATTCTTAAAAAGTTCAATTTATTTAACATTGGTGTTTTTAAGGATTAGGAATTAAGAACAAAAATTAAGAATTAAGGAATTGGGTAACCCCGGCCTTAATATCATTTGGAGCATTTTTTATTCCGGGCCGCCGCTAGGGTGTTAGCCGCCTGCTGGCAAAATTTGGACTAAAAGTCAACTTTGAGGCTCAATTGCTCAAAAACTATTTGAGCAGGTATCAAACTCAATTTTACACGGATTTATAGAGAATTTAATGTTCTTTCCGATGGTGTATAATTTATTTCAATTTGCTCGAAATTCAACAAAGATATGGCAATAGGGAATTCTCATCAGAAATAAATATGGTTCATTTTGTTTTTATGTAGCACATTTTCCTATAAAATATTTAATATGAGCAGTTTTGCGTTTAATTTATCGATATTATTCTCGTACGGTAATTATTAGTTTCAAATTGAAAAGTTTCGCACGGAAAAGCTAAGTTCAATATGGCCGCTTTCGGTGACGTCAACTGTTCATAAACCAAGGTTAAGGGTAGTTTACACTGACCGTGAATAACGAACGTGGTCCACGCTTACATGGTTCATTCTTGGGTCCTGAAGAACGATTGGTCCACGAACAGCTCACTTCACGCCACGACTGATATTGAACCACCATAATGGGTCTATAGAAGATTGTCAGACTGCGCTTCTGTAAATCCTGTATAAATCATGACAAACTAAGTAAAATACAAAATTTCACAATACGCCAAATACAGAAACACCACGTAAAAACCGCATTCAATGCAGTCAAAAGTAAGAGCAATTCTTTCTGACAGTTTGCAAAGTGTCAGAGACTCTTGTGAGAACAGACCTTAACGTTGCATTTACAAACAGTTGACGTCACAAGTACCGACATCTTAAAGGTAATCGTTTTCGCGCCAATGGAAATAATTTGAAATTTTATATATTCTTTTTATTTTAATGAAGACAAAATACAAAAGAAAACATATGTATTTTATATTTGGAAACATAAGCAATAAGAAAAAAGATAATTTAAAAAATATGATTGTTCCCTAATTTAATAATTAAATTAAGAAATTTATAAAAGTTTAATAATGGTACTTACCGGAATCCCATCTTCCTTTAGCCCGTTAGGGCCCCAGCGATAAAAGATCTAAAAAAAAATTAAATCATAGCGTTTGAAAAAAAATTAAAATATTTTAAAAGAAAAGAAAAAGAAATTAATTATAAAAACAAAGCAAAATTAATACAAGTTACAAGTACAATTTAACAAAAGTTAATGTTAAAACCTAAAAGTTAAAAGTTATGGTTACTAAACACAATTTAATTTTCCTAAGTACATTTGCTATTGATAATTCCTACAAAAAAAAATATATAATAAAAAAAATATCAGTAACAACCATTTTCCTTGGACTACAAAAAATATTAAAACGTTTTTAACCAAATTCGAATAAAATATAAAATCAGGAGTGGTAGGTAGATAGGTAAGTATGATAGAATAAGTGAGAATAAAAAAAAAAAAACTTCAATGAAACAAGTTTAAACTTGTTATATAAAAAACTAGCTGACCCGGCGAACTTCGTACCGCCTCTGAATTATTAAATATACCTATTAAATGTTGTGTTAACGTATCTATTAGCTGAATTAAATTCAGTTTTTTTCGATGGTGGATTTGGCTTTGGTTGAAGAAAATTAATGTTTACTCTCTGGATCAGAAGTCACCTAAAATTAAAATTTTTACATCATCCTTTTTTAGGCAGCTTGTGGGCATTATTCTTGTAAAGTGTACCACCAAATAAATAAACTCAGGCACAGGAATGTCTAAAGAATGTAAAGAAAACAAAAAAAATCTCTAGCGCAGCTCTGTTTCACTCTATCTGCACTGCATGCACTGCACTAATCCATCTGTTCTACTCTATCTGCACTACTCTTTCTGCACCACTCTATCTGATCGGAATAGTGGAATAGTTCTGTTCAAAATAGCTCCAGTTCCTGAGCAGCATTGTTCTACTGTATCTGCAATGCCGAGCTTCGTTCCAGGTATCAGAGATGGCGCGGTATACAAAATACAAAATACAAAATAAACTTGGTATCGGTTATAAGAGATGGCGCCGTATGCGGGCTTAGTAAATTTTTTTCATAAATAAATAAAGGCTATGGTCCGAATATAACCAAATGTTAACCAATGTAACCGAATCGGTTGACAGATGGTTACTGAAAATTCCGGTTAGTTGGGGAACGCTAATATGAAATAAAAAATAATTGACAGATATTACAGATAGAACCAATAGAACCGACATCGGATGGCCGGTTACTATTTTAACATTTGGTTAACCAGATTCCAGGAACTCGAGGTCCAAAAGTAAAGTAACCATTTTTCCAGGAACCAGAGTAATTTGATTACTTTCGGACCGCGAAACTACAACCTTGTCGGATTCAATGCGCCAGGTGCGTCAGGTATTGAAATAAATTACAGATATTTATCCTGAACGTGTGTGCACTAATGCCGGTGGTCAATGTAGTGGTTCCCTGTTGAACGATCTTGGAGTCTTGTTGTTGGAAGGTGGTATTCTTATGACAGGAAAGGCGTTGCGTTGGCAGGTATTTCACATTAAAAAAAAAAAAACAAAGTGTGAGTATGTGCTATTAATTGAGCTTATATCCTATAAATAAATGAAAACCTTAAACCAACTAAAAAAAAAATATATTAATAAGAAAAAATGTAACCATTTTTAAATGTAATAGGTAGGTTAAGGTAAAGAAGGTTTGACCAAATATTTTCCGTAATAAGGCGATGTTTACGCTTTATTTAATGCCTATTCAAGTTTATTTTCATACAGAACGGAAAATTAGATAATGAGTTACTTTATAGTTCAAAAGAGCAAAAAAAAAAATTTTCTCGTAATTTTGTCGTAGGATTTCTCAGAACAATCCGATCCAGTTGTATGCCCTTCTGTCCCCTACCTACAACCTTTTTTATAAACTTTATTATAGATATTTATTATACATCAGTTTGTATACTTTATATAATTATTATATATTTATTAATTCACGTCAGGCGCCTGCATAAAAATCTAGTGCATTTATCGTATTTACTCTGATATTTATTCTAATACCAATTTGTGCACTGCTGTCTTAGACTTAAATAAAAAAGCAAATTTTTTTGCACTAGTACGAGTAATTATATTTAGGTACCTATTATGTATTTAACAAATTCTTCAATATTTTAAAATTATTGAATTATTCCTTAAAAATCTGAGATAAGTAGGGCATACTGAAGTATCTCAGGAATACTCCCTTTAAACGGGGCATTCAATCATCTATTCCAACAAGCTCTATTTCAGCTTTTACTTTATCACCAGGGGACAGTGATCGGATGTCTTTATCGTCTATAATTTCAAGACTATATCTTAAAGTATTATTCCTTTCTGATTTTGAAGTTATTTGAAAATTACCCTTCGAGGTCATTTCGTTAAGTTCTCTGTCTTGTGCGTGAGTCTCTTCATTTTTCTTTTCAATTGTTTGTCTGCCATTTCTGGGTTTCTTGGAGATCCTTGTGTAGTAAGAATAAAAAAAACGTAGTATCAGGAATAGAATGAATATTGTGAAGCAAGTGTAAATGAGGCCCATTACTGCGCCATGTGTCGTGTTTGCGGTCATTTCTAGACTATTAGCCCTTGTGAAAAGTGGCGTAGTAAGTGTCACACTTGTGTTTTTAAATGATAGGTAAACAACTAGAAATGAGAGGACAATATTCCAGCATAGGAATAATGTGTCCGAATGGAATCCGTAAGTGTAACTAAGTATTTCATTGGAATTGTTTGTCGAATTAGACTAATTATATTTTTCTCTGTTGTTTCACTTGAAGTTAAGTTAACGTGAGGTATATGGAGAGTCCAATTAATGTTAAGGCATTCCGACATGTTTTTATAAGTAGGTGAAAGGTAGTTTGATTTTGGATTCAAAAGAAATGATTTTAATGTAGACCATGTTGCTGGGATAATGTGAGTTATTTGAGCGTCATACGACACCAAAAAGTTGGGGCATGGAAATCGTTTTGGAATGACTATGTCTGTTTCTGACTGTAATTGACAGTTACAAGGCAATTTCACCTTATTCGACCCTTGATGAGGATGCTCTGGCTTGAGTTTATAGGATTTATTCTCTCTGCACGTGACCTCCAAACCCTTTTTAGGGTGTGTCAACATATAAACTTCTTCGGATATTTCCGAAATTATCATTGATGTTGCTGAGTGACAACTCATTGGACAGTATTGGGCTAGTTGCTGGACAGTTGTGCCCTCATACAACTTTCTAGCACACTCTGGACCTTGGATGTTGTCTGCTGAGAATCGAGGTATATAGCATAGTTGGCTGTGATACGGTTTACATTGATGAAGACCTGCTCCTGAAATTTGCCTCATTTCATCTCTATTCTCCACTGTCGATGAAACCGCCATGTAGAGTGGCTGGTGTGTTATGTTTCGTGCAAGTCTGATTGAACCATGCGAAGGGTGTCGTAATTAATTCATATAGTTTCCAGCTTTGTTTCATTTTTATTATTGGTACTTTGACGTGGATAAATAATTTATTTTCTGTGTATGAACAGTCGCAAATCCGGACTTGGTAATATTTAGAGATCTCAGTTACGTGGATGGCCAGTCCCTGTCCTGAGGTTTCTAGTTCTAGTTCTAATTTTGTTAAGTCTTCCCTTAGTATTTGTGGATGAATTATGTCTGCTGGTATTCTATGTTGTTTGCATGATTGCATGATGGCTTGCCTTCTGAGACTCCGAGTGATCATAACCATCTATCCTCAAGTTCATGTACTGATAGTATAATATTGTAGACGTCATACGCCCTTCTTCGTTTGTGGCGTTAACTAATATGTCCTCTAACTCTTCAGAGTGTCGCTCTATAACCGTCATTCTAAGCTCAGTTTCTCTAAATGTGCTCGCAATCGATTCGTCGCATTCTTCAAATGCCTTGGAGTTTTGGCTTATTTCTTTTAGCACTCCTGACAGTCCTTGGGTCATTCTCATTAATTTGTCCTTAACGTTGTCCTCAGATTCCTCTACTAATCTTAGTTTTTCCATTGTGGCTACTCCACAACACCATGATAAAGCAGATCCTACAAAGTCTAGAGCACGTTTTCCTCTAGTGTTTTTATTTTCTTGCCTCATTAATTGAGCATCCCAATTCTCGTTTAATAGAATAAATTCCTTGGACAAACTACGTTTTCCCTAGTTTCATGACTATCCAACTGATTCGGGGGAGGCATAAGGGTAGCTTCTATTGGTAAGACTTGCTCTCTTCTATATACTAACATAAATGGAGAGAATGTAGTAGTATCTTGCCTACTAGTATTATATGCAAAAGTAACATGAGGAAGGTATTTATCCCAGTTTGTCTGGTTAGTGTTGGTGTAGATTGAGATCATATCCGCTAGAGTTTTATTGAGTCTCTCTGTCAGACCATTCGTTGCTGGGTGGTAAGCGGTTGTAAATTGTTTTGTGGTTCCCATTTTTCTTAAAAGTTCCATGACTAGTTCTGATTGGAACACTTTGCCTCTGTCGCTCAACAATTCTTTTGGAGCCCCATGTCTTGTAATGATTTTTTCGAGTATGAATTTTGCTACAGGGCCCGCCTTGCCACTAGGCTGCGCTTCTGTTTCTGCCCATCTCGTAGCGTCTATGTTAGGAATACTATAGCTGGATTTTTTGGTTACAGCATTTAGGCGCCTGTAATCAACACAAAATCTAGTTTCTCCCGATTTCTTTTTAACTAGTACTACAGGGCTGGCCCAAGGAGAATGGCTTGGTCTAATTACATTGTATTTAGCCATTTCCGATATTTGACTGTCTATTATTTCCCTTTTTTTTTGGGTTACTCTATATGCTTTCTGTTTTATAGGCTGAGCGTCTCCAATATCTATGTTATGTTCTACAAGATCTGTCTTTCCCATATTTTTTGGAGTTTTTGAAAATATGTCATTAAATTCGTGTAATAAATTTTGAACTTTCATTTTTGTAGTTTTCCTTGCGAGTGCGCATATCCGTAAAAAAAAAAGTCTTATTTTTTATATGGCTTATTTTGTGATCTTCCATCGTAACTTCGTCCTCTTTTCCACTTTCTTCCAATAAAAATATTCCCGATTCCAATAGATTATATACTTCTATGCCTTCTAGAAAACCCAAAGTGGTGCCTCTGAAAATTTTCACATTATTATCAATTTTATTACGAGGTTATTTTCAATCTTATAGACTGGTGATAGGCAAACTATTCCCTTATTCCTTAGATTTTTGTCATTTTCGTAAAAGCTAAGATTGGGTAAGTTTTCATAATCAAAATTGTCCAAATTAGTAGCAAGCTTTACGGTGATTTCCGTATTCGGCTTCAAAATATAATCTTTCTGAGCGGTCAATTTAATTTTCTGTCGGTCCTCTTCAATTTGTATATTACATATTATTGTTTCTTCTCTGTCTTCTAGAGAACTTCCTCCTTCTGTGTCGTTTTTATTCTCAGTGTATAAAGACGAACGGTTAATTTGCCCTACTCTATTTTTTCTCTCAAAAGTTAGGGTGGTATTTATGTTAAAATAACTTAAATTTACTGTACAGTTGCTATAATCTATCTTCGCCTCATTTTTTGAAAAAAAGTCGGTGCCAAGAATCAACGGCTTCGATAATTTTTCCACTACCAGTGCCAATACGTAGCCTTTTATATTTCCAATTTCCAAATTCACTTCTGATGTACCCAGAGTTTTTATTCGGACACCTCCCGTAACCGGTGGTGATGTTCCTATACTTTCCTCAGGTGCTGGACCAAACTACTATCTACTACGCATTGGCTTGCCCCCGTATCTAAAATTATTTCTATATTCCTATGATTATTTACAGTCCCAGTAACTTTCAATATATTTTGGGATGGGTTAACCCCGGTTTGCAGGACGACTTCTTTGGGGTTTTTTAGTTGAGCCGTCCGAATGCGTTTGGGGAAGGCGATCTAGAAAACGACACTCTTCTTGTGTCATCTCTATTACAAGAGTAATGACCATTCCTGTTGCAATCTTTGCATTTTGGTCTCCCGTCGCTACTTCTTGTATTTGGGAAGTTGGATCCGTGATTATTTCCTCTGTAGCCCCCCTGGTAGCCGCCGCGGCCTCTTCCTCTTGACCTGTTGCTTCCGTAATTATTCCCGTAATTATTCCCGTAATTAATTCCGTAATTATTTCCGCTGTTTCGAGAACAGTAATGTAGAAGGATAGCCGATGAGAACACTAGACGATTTATAAAAGTTTATTAATGGTACTTACCGGAATCCCATCATCTTCCTGTAGCCCGTTAGCCCGTAGCACAACCTTTACGACTTTAACGCCCGAGTTTAGATTTACAACTAACTTGAAAATTACGCTTTATCGATCCAAATCAATTCAGAATTGTCAGCAAAAATCATTGACCTAAAACCTAGGTTGTTGGCTTTAAGCTTTTTTGCTGACATCCGAATGCGTTTGCTTTATTTAATATAACATCCGAATTGCCCAACTAAATTGGGACATTATTAGTCAATGAACTTTGGTTAATTCGTATTGGAATAATAATGTTATAAAGGGTGATATTTTTTGGCTTGACAATAGGATTTCCCTTCTATTTTTGTTTCCATAGGCGCCGGAACCATGGGGGCAATGGGGGCTTAAGCCCCCATAGTGATTTTGGTGGTGGGTGTAGTAGTGTATTGGGTAGGTACAAAAATATTGAGTTCCTAACTATTCATTTTTATATCAAACTTATGTTTTATGTTTTTGTTATACCTACTTCAACAAACAGTTAGAATATTTTGTTGTGTAGTATTTAAACCTGTATCTTCAATAAGTCGTTGGATTATTATTTCCTTTCCGATTTTTTTTTTTCATGATAGGTATGTTTACATCACATCACTGGCTTTTTTACCTAGTTTATCATGGAAAATTTATATAAAGATCGGACCAACCTACTATACACATAGGGAGTAATAAGTCGAATTAGCCTGTATATACCCGGTTAAGGCGAATCGACTGGGTGTTGCCCACTGGCGTTGGCAAGGAGGTCGACAAAAAGGCATTTTCCCACCCTCCCCCAAAGGCCTTTAAATATTAGTAATTCAAAATTAAAATAAACAAAAAAAATCAATTCAAGTCCTAGGTGAATAATCAAATACATACATTAAAATATAGGTACCTAACGTTCTACTATAAATTCTTATCAAAATTTATGTTCAAATGGCCGCATCCCCACATGCTCCTACCATTAGAAGTTACAAAAATACCGTAAAAGACCCAAAAATTTCGCGACTGCGGCGCTTCGCGGCGGAGCTGCAAGGATCACTGCCTGCAAATTTGACCCCTCAGCTCAATACAAAATCCTGGCTATGCCAATAATGCTGGTCTCATTTAAGCCTGTGTCTAAGCCTAGTCCTGTCTATATGATTAATTCTACTTATGTTAATTTTTTGTACCCGAGCCCCCATGGTAATTTTGAAGTTCCGGCGCCTATGTTTGTTTCTGTTTAAAATGGCCATTTGAAAATATTGTCAGGGTTGTTTTCCACTAATTTTGACCCGCTCTATCGATTGGTATAGTCGAACTTGAGCAAAACTAAAAAATAAAAAAATCGAGTTTTTCATAATAAGGGTATCCCCTTTGAATTCTAATTTCATTTTACGATATTCCCAGAATTATAGTTTTTGAGCAAATTGAGTGTGAATTTTTTGACAAAATTTGGACTAAAAGTCAACTTTGAGGCTCAATTGCTCAAAAAATATTTGAGCTATAAAACTCAATTTTGCACGGATTTATAGAACATTTAATGCTCTTTCCGATGGTGTATAATTTATTTTAATTTGCTCGAAATTCAACAAAGATATGGCAATTGCTCATGACCATTTCAAGATTTTGAACATTTATTAGAGCCAAAAATAGTATTTCCTTTTTATTTATTTTTTCCTGCTTATAATGGCTATTTGGAATTAGTCTCAGGGTTGTTTTCCACTAATTTTGACCCGCTCTATCGATTGGTAAAGTCAAAATTGAGCAAAACTGAAAAATAAAAAAATCTTTCATAAGGGTACCCCCTTTGAATTCTAATTTCAAAACATTCAAACCTCAATTGCTTGGTAACCGTTGAGCAAATTGCATTGAATTTTTCAGCATTTGTAGCCCTCATTTAGCTCTAAGTGGCCTGTAATTTACAATTTTCCCAGATTTACAGTTTTTCAGCAAATTGAATTTGAAGTTTTTGACAAAATTTGGACTAAAAGTCTACTCAAAAACTATTTGAGCTATCAAACTCAATTGTGCACGAATTTATAGAGAATTTAATGCTTTTTCCAATGGTAAAAATGGCAAAAATTTACCCTTTCTGATCGGCCGCCTGTGTGTAATTTGAACTATATCCAAAACTTTGAATCCCAAATACCATTAATTAAATAATAAACCATTATATTAAAATATCTTTATTGGAAAACCTATGCAATAATATAATTTAAAATTGTCTACAGTGTCTCCCAAATTTGCTCATTCGAAAATTCTACTCGGTCAGAGGCTTCATAGTGTTCAAATATTAAAATTTCATTTTGTCCCTTCTTAATTAAAGGTGCCGGCAAATATAAGCATTGTTGAGGCCCAATTCTAGCGTATCTTCCCAAAACAAACCCATTGATCATCACAATACCTTTTGTCCATGGTCTCATATCAATATACGTGTCTGATGGATTACCGATACTAATATAACCTAAATCGTAATCATACATTAATATCATTATCATATTTGCTAATTATTTTACCTTTATATATGCCAGGTCCTCTATAATTTTCAATTTTTTCCCATCCTTGCAAACCTAAAGTCCATGTTTTCTTGAATTCCAGAGGAACATGCTTCCAGTTCAATAAAACATTATTGTCTAGTGAAATATCCCCTTGCCATAATCCTGAGAAAAATAACTTCAATCAAAAGTTCGTATTCATTTTACTATAGAGCAACCTTTAAATTGATAATACTGTGGTAGTTTTCCATATCCAACCCTGCCCCAATTTTCGACAACCAAATCAATGGTAGCATCAGCCATGGTAACATTAGTTAAAGTTATTTGTGAATTATTAATGTTCCAAAATCCAAAATTGTCTAGATCATATTTTGACTTCAGAGGTGGTGATATTAATTGTCCGTTAACCAAAACCTATATGAATGTTAATAAAGCCATCTTCTGAGAAAAATAAGCTTACCAAAACTGAATCACAAATCCTACCACTTATAGTCAGAGTGGCCCCTGCAGACAAGTTAACATGTTCTTTTCTATAAGTTATGTATCCATAACTTTGTCCAGAACCATTATTAATATCCAACATTTCCATCGCAATTGGTCTTTCGTATTCCAGGTTTATAAGTTGGGAATCTACAATATTTCTCGCAATTTAAAAATATTTGTTAAATTAACTCATGTACCAATAAGAGATTTCAAAGGAATATACTCTAAAATGCTTATATTTGGATACACTAGGCGTACTGTCGGAGCTGGCATTGGTGGTAATCTAGTTTGTGGTGAAGCATATTTTGCCAAAAGAACTTTAATTAAATCATATTTGCCAGAATAGTCTCCGGCTTCAGTTAATGGAGCAGCATAGTCATAGCTAGTTATATCTGGAAATTTTTTATTTAGCAATATATTCACCAAAAAGGATTTTTAAGAACCAGGTTGATATCCACTATTATCCATTAAGTAATCATTATCCAGATTGGCTCCATTCATAAATCCGAAACTAGTACCGCCATGGAACATATACAAATTAAATGACCCTGGATATGATAAAATTGCCTCCAGGTTCAATATTAAAAGTAATGCAGATGTTGTATGATGATTTTCGCTCCAATGATCAAACCATCCTGGATAATATTCCATAGCCATTTTAGGTCTACCAGGCTGTAAAGTTTCAAGGGTTTGAAATGAGCTCATAGGATTTCCACCAAAATTTGCAGTTATTAAGAAATCTTTGGTCAAAGTACCCGCGTCTCTAAAGGAAGTTACTCCATCAGCAGTTGTTAATAGTTCAGTGATGTTGTGTTCCAAGTAAATTTGTTTGAGTTGCTTCAAGTAAGTTTTGTCTGGCAAAAATGATGAAGTTTTAGTGCTGCCATATTCGTTTTCTACTTGAAAGCTTATGATTGGGCCTCCATTGATGAATTGGAATGCTGCCAGTATTGGAAAAAGAGCTTGAAAGAATCTTAAAACATTTTTAGCTGGAATGAGTTATGATGACAGGTGGTACAAACTTACCTTTTTACTGGGTTCATATATTTCGGATCTGAAGTTCTGAATTTTATGCCAGTTTCCCTTAAAAGCCAACTAGGAAAACCTCCGAATTCCCATTCAGCACAAACATAAGGTCCTGGTCTTAGGATGGCAAAAAGGTCTTCTTCCTGGGCAGTTTTTAGAAAGGTTTCTATGTCGAGAAAATCTTCCATGTCTGAGCCTCCATTGCCAAAATCAAACTGACCTATTGGAGAGAAGAGTCTGTTTAAAAACCATTAACAAAATACATAAATCGATGAGCAAGCAAACATTTAAATTAATATTTCGATTGTTGAGTGATTCAGAAGTTCTGTTTTACATGAAAGACTTCAGTCAGGATGAATATGTCCTAGTTCTTGCTCGCATGGTTGGTAGACAACCTTGTAGCAACGCTTGTAGGTAGATCTTTCCAGGTAGGTTTTTCAACTAAATGCTAAGTAATGCAATGTAATCACTGTATTCAATAATATTCATCTGACAGGTATTTTGGTAAAGCTCTATACATTCATATATTCTTACCAGGACTGGGTTCATGTAAATTCCATGGCACATAAGTCTCTACAGCATTAAGACCAGCAGCTCTCATTTTCCTTAACCTGTCTCTCCATAGTTGCTTTGGGGTCCTGAAGTAATGCATTGCACCAGAATACAACGTGATATTTTTTCCATTTAGAGTAAAATAATTTTGATCGGCATTCAACCCCGATTTAATGTCACCTTCTGTGTAGTATTCGTAGAGGGTGGGTAATGGAGCACCTTCGTGTGTAGCTATTTCCATTTTGGTACAAACTAAATTTGTTGATATACAATTATTAACATCACTATCGACTAATGCTAACTACTTTATACAATACCTTTAAAAAATCGTATTATTTTGCCGAACAAAACACTGTCACTATCACAAATTCCTTATCACTTTAAAGTAAATTGATATATTGTCCCACAAAGACTTTGCACAATTTGAATTTTATCGGGCAAGAATATTTTTGTTTATAAGCGATACATTTCTAAGTACAGCCGATACTGTGCCACTGATCATTCTAATCTATTAAGCTAATGGCGCTTTTTTGATTCGAACCGAATAAATTAGTTAATTTTACTTTTGGTTGTGGCAAGTAATTAGGTTTACAGGGGAAACATGAAAAGATTTATTATAGTATAGTCAATCTAGGTAGGTTTATGCAGGTGAGGTAGAAAAAATTAGTAACAAAGTGATCTCTGCGAAAATGAGTAGTCGATAGGGTCCTAATTAATCCCTCAAAAATCGTACTTTGTCGCATCGGTGGAACTTGAAAAAAAATGGCCGCCATCTTGATTATTTTCGGATTCATTGAATATTTCTCAAGAGTCCTTTTTTGAGGAGAATAAAAAGTTACTTATAATAAAAGAAATTTCAACACTATAAGCTGGAAAACAAAAAAGTTATTGGGAATTAATTTATTTAAAAATCTGGAAATTTTTGAACTTTAGGTAAAATCGCGAAATGTATGGATTTTTCTAATAAAACTTAAGAATGCCCGTTAGTAGAGGATTAAAGATACCTATATATTGAGATAAAAAAAAACAACAGTAATTATCGAAAAGTTTGGTGTCAAAGGTTTAAAGCATGTTCTCAAGTTTCCAGTCTTTCTCTTTCACTACTGTGAAGGTTTAGTGATTTTTTAATAAACCTTAAAGTATAGAATTTAATTTATTTGAATTACTTAGTGTCTATCCAGACAGTACACAGACATCTTAAAGACGTCCCTAAGATGTCCACAAACGACATTCAGGACGTCTTTCAGACGTCGGCTTACGTCTTCAAGGCGTCTTAAAGACATCTTAAAAACGTCGTGTTACAAAACCCAACGTCTTTCAGACGTCTGCCTAAAGACGTCTTCAGAACTGATATTTTATTACTTTCAATTTTTGTCTATTCTAAACGCTAGGGTCTTAAATTATTGATTTCTTTAAACGGAAACATACGAAAAATTCATTTTGGTAGAAAACTATTTGAAGAGACAGGACTGAAAATTGAAAAGCAAGTCAAGAGCCTGAAATTCTAAAATACAGGAATAATGAGAATTCAAGAACATGGAAAAAAAAATCTAAGCCAAAAGAAAATTAAGAATTTAGGATAAAGAAGTAAGGAAAAATCTCGGGAAAAATCAAGTGCCTGGAAAAGAAAAAATTATAAAAATTCAAGAATTTGAATTGAAAAAGGAACATTTTCTTGTTAATATTTCATTATTATTTATTACTCATATTATTTTTATTATTATTATTTATTAGGCTCTCTGGCACAATTCTGAGGTTTGTCTAAAGTGTTCCAAGTTGACTGGGTTCTGGAGCATTCTAGAAGTTTTTCAGTAATTTCTAAATTGGGAAGTACGCTTCTTCGAAGGATTCATGTTAAATTTCAAAATGTTCATTTGACAGATTGACAGATTTTTAAGTATTTTAGAGCCCTATTAAAGTTCCAAAGTGAAGTTGATTCGGTTTAAAAGCATTCTAAAAGGTTTCCAGTTCTAAATTGAATCGTTATTGTTCTAAAATATCTCTGAAGTTTCTAAATTGTTCCAAAATACTCCATTCTAATAATGGTTCTGAAGTTTTCAAAATGTTCTGAAGCGCTACACAATGCTGTTGGAAATTATGAGTTGAATTTTAAGTGTTTTGAACTTTCGAAAAGGCTCATTATTGAAGTTCTAAAGTGTTCTGTAGGATTCTAAATGGTTTCAAGTAACTTCTAAAATTAAATGAAAAACGAATTCTGTGGGAAATCTTTAAGGCGTCTCAAAGACATCTTAAAGACGACGTATGTTACAAAACCCAACGCCATTCAGAAGTCTGCCTATAAAGACGCCTTTAGAACTAAGACATTCTTCGTCTCCAACGAAATTTTTAAAAGAAGTCTTTAAATCTCTTTTCAATACATGAACCATTATTCACTTCTAGGCCTGGCTGAACGAAATAGTGTGGCTCAGTTCAGTTATCCTTGAGATGTGAATTTAGGGCATCTGATTATGGAAGTTTTTAGAGGTTTTTTAGTCTTCAGACGGTCAGATGTAATGCAGAATGCAGACTTAAAAAAGACGTCTTTAAGACTTTGTGTGCTGTTTGTGTCTGGGTAGTTTCCTGCCCAAATGTGTTTCTGGTCATATGCGTTTTTGCTTCCTCTCAACAAAAATATTTAGATCATTAAAATTTATTGAATTTTTCTTCTATTAAATGTAGTTTTTAATTCTGCACCAAAAAAAAATAATACTTATTTGAGTTTTTTTCAGATGTTTTGAAAAATTCCATGTTGCCAAATGAAATAAATGTCAATAACTTTTTCGTTTGCAGCTGATGGTCTTTAAATTTATTTCTCCCATTATGGGTAACTTTTGATTCTCCACAAAAAAGTCCTTTTGAGTTTTTTTGATATAATGCATACTTTACGAAATATTCAATAAATTCCAAAAAAAATCAAGATGGCGGCCATTTTTTTCCAAGTTCCACCAATGCGACAAAGTGCGATTTTTGAGGGATTAATAAGGACCCTATTGACTACTCATTTCCGCAGAGATCACTTTGTTACTAATTTTTTCTACCCCAACCCCCTATTTTGACTAGCCTATTAGTTATCTACTTGTTTTTGGCTAGTGACCTCGGTAATGATTCGATTAGTTTTTTTAAGTTGGATTCAGGTCAATAAAACAGCGTTGGAGATGAAAAATTTGTATTTGCCGACGTTTCGACCTAAATTAGGTCATCCTCAGGGCACTAAAAATTAGGATAATATTTGACAAATTCAAAACAAAACATAAATAGAAAAATAAATAAAAAAACAACAGTTCCAATACACAATTCTTAATGGTTTTAACAACTGATATTACTTACATTCAAGTTATCACTCTAGTGTACAAGTTAAAATGGTGGTAAGGAACATGTTAACAATCAATATAACACATAATAGGCACTTGTGGACTTGACTAATAATATAGACAGAAAAAAAAAACAAAAAACACAGTTTTAACGGTAATTAAATAAATAAATAAATTGATTTCACAGTCGAACCGACAAAAAGAGAGGGATGATTTAAGGTGATTTAAGGTTCAAATCGTTCGACTGTCTACCGCATAATGTTATTGAAAATTATATGTAAGGTACTTAGTTGAAGGTTCTTGCTTGACGCTTGGTGTTCGACGAAATAAAAAGAAAAGAAAAAAGGGGAGGTATGCAGCTGATGAGAATACCAATAATAAACAATTATCATTTGGTTCTATATAGGATGTTGTATAGTTTTTAAAAGATTATGGTATACCATACTCAAGCCTTCAACGTCCTGCTTTTTGTTGATATTATAGGGGTGTTTTCTGATTTCAATCATTTCATTCAATAATCTTTTTTTATAATTAATTTGCTTTCCCAAAATAGCAACACACCGAGAGAAAAAAAGGCTGTTATAACTAAAAAATTAGTTATTGTCACTAAGGAGTGTGCATAAAATAGGGGACAGCTCCGGCATGTAGTTATACTAACTAATTTAAGTTAGTTGGTGATCGAATAACCTTCATAGTTGTACCAAATAGGCTTTTAGTTATTTCCACTTTAGAAGTGGCTATACAACAACCAATATTTTTTAGTTGCCTTTACTATATAAATTGGTTGTGTAGACCTGAATTTATTTGAAAATAACCAATTTTTGGTCTGCAACAAAAAATTGTCTGGGCTGACTTAACTAATATTTTTAGTTAGCAGAAACAATATTCCGGGTTGAATCAACTGATGTCTGTAGTAAATGCTTAGTAGTGGTAGCTAATATGATTTGCTGAAAAAGGGAAGCGGTTAATAATAAAGAGAAAAAAATCATATGTTTGGAACGTATTTATTACTAAGGAAAACAATGGTTGTATATTACAGACATTATACTAATAACATTGTAAATTGAATGGAGATTCTTAAAACACACATTGAAATTCTAATTTAAAAACTAAAAATAACATTGATCTTTTTGTTTCACTGTAACCTAACCTGATACCGATACTGGTATAACAATTCAAATTAAATACATATTCTTAAATTAAGCACACATTGAAAATCTACTATAAAAACTAAGAATAACATTGAACTTTTTATTTTACTGAAACCTATTGTAACAAATAGTAATTTTATATGCATAGTGAAGAAAAAAATTAATATCCATTCTTTGAAACTGTTTTTGAAAAAAAAAAAAAACTCAAAAAGTATACCGAACACTTCAAGTCAGTCAGAAAACAACATCTTTCACCAAAATGATATTTTATTCTCATAATTTTTCTATTGTCCCTAAATGAAACTCAAGGAAATAATAACCGATCACTTTCTTACCCTGAAACGCACTTAAACACGAGCCATATTCCACTCGCACAAAACTTTTTTATATTTATTTTATACTGATACTGCTGTTGCTCAGCGGTGTCCATTTTGTTTGATTTTGTTAAAGATTCACGATTTGAGCGCGTGCCTACCTACCGACTCATCACATCAAGCTCGCAGTAGGCCACTCACTGTGGAATGAACTCGAATGAAGCCGAAGCCGGAACAGCCAAAAAGATCGGCACAAATTTTGCTAAAGCTTGGCGTCCCATTGGTCAACGGAATCTCCCGAACATTCTACTACCGAGTGCTAGTCGTTGCAACTAGATTTCCGTTTGCTCACCTAATAATTTTGGTTATTTTTTATCTGCTTTTTTATAAAACCCAACAGCTTAGTTGCTACAACTACAATGATAGTTGGCTACCAAAATGTTCAGTTATCAGAAATCGAGGCTTAGTTGTGACAACCTAAGAATTGCAACTAAGTTAAAATGACTACCAGAGCAAGACCAAATGCTTGCGAGTACTAACAGGTATGTCGCAATAACAAATTTTTTAGTTATGGTAACTGAAAAAATTTAACTCACGCATCTAGTTAACGCGATTTTCTCAGTGCATTGTCAAAATCAAAGGTAGGTATGTTGTTCAACTTCGAAATGTTCCGCTAATGCAGTTTTATTATTTGTATTCAAAATATTAGCCGGTCTTATACTCCGTTTGTGTTCAGACATTCTTGTTTTTAAATATCTTGCTGTTTGGCCTATAGACACCATTACATTCATT